CTGCAAGGTAATTTACTCACTAACACCTGGTCAACACGTGAAAATATCAATAAATGAAACAAATTGCTTGTTACATATTTATTATTCCCTACTTCTGTCTTTTTGGCAGTGGTTAAGAACTCAACCACCAACCAAAAGGTCAACAGTTTGAATCCACCAGCCACTCCTTGGAAACCCTATGGGGCAGTTCTACTCTGTCCTATAGGGTTGCTACAAGCTGGAATTGTCTCGATGGCAACGGGTTTGGTTTTTTGTTTTTTGTTTCTATCTTTTTAGAAGCTATTTCTTTTAAAATCTAGTTTTCTTTACTATGACAATAGCAACATCTGTTATTTTCAGAGGAAAACACTTAAGAGAAAGAAGTGGACTTTGCAAAAGCTTAAGATACAGTCGTCCTACCTTCATATTTTCTTTCACAGGCTCCAGACTTCCAGTTAGTAGCCTTGGGAGACGAACTACCAGATCTCTAGTCTATAGTTATGAACAAAGCAATGTATTATTATTACACATGACATTAAACTAGCTTGGAAAACCACATTACTAGAAATATAAAGCTAAAATTTAAGATATGACCCAGTCAGAGAAATGCTAGGAACCCCCAAAATAGATGAACTTAATATTATTTGAGAAAAAATCAAATACTGAAAACAAGACTTAAAGAACCAAGTTGATGGAATGTAATAAAAAGCAGCAGCTATATGTTTAACCTAGCAGGGTAATTCATGCTTACACAAAAATACCAGGCATTTATAGGATTCATGTAGGCTAGCAATACAAAATTTAACATTTCCAAAAGGTACCTCATATGGAAATATACAAATTCTTCCTTTTTCTTTACCTTCTTCACACTAAGTTCAAGTTCTTTCTGAAAAAATCCCAATCTGTTATCCAGCCTTTCCACTGAAAAATTCAGCAAAAATGGTGCATTTCTGACCATCTGTGCAATATCTGCCTTACTGAAATTTTTTGACTGTAGATAAGTCACCCTAGAGAAACAAAAAATATATGATAAACACACATTAATGTCTGCTGCTTTCCAAAGTAACAACTGTTTTCAAAGTTAAAAAGGCTACCAAACCAATAAAAAAAAA